AGTTACTGGGTTTCATTGTATCCCCAAGGTTTATTACATGCAACCCTTTTACACACCTACTAAGTAAATAATACAGTGAAAGCAAATAAAACCTTAAGAAAAATGGCACCGTTACATACCTTAAACCTTTCTTTAAAATTTTAGATTTACCAAAAGTGGTAATTTCAATTTTTCAGTGTTGCTCTAACCATCTTAAGGTTTTATTCAGTTTAACAATGGCTACTAAAGCAACGCTCATGAAATTGGCTTTTAGTTTTGTCAAATTGAATCATTTTGATGGTGGTAATTTTCAAAGATGGCAGAAAAATATTCATTTCTTACTTTCAACCTTGAATGTTGTATATATTTAGACTACTCCCAGGCTAAAAGAAAATGAAATAGAAGAATCTGTTATTGCAATAAGAGAGAGACAGGAATGGGATAAGGCAAACTACATATGTAAAGGGCATATTCTGAATGGTCTATCTAAAAACCTATTTGATACATACCAAAACGAGGCTACTGTAAAGGAGTTATAGGACAAATTAGAGACCAAGTATATTACTGAGGATGCAACAATTAAAAAATTTCTCATTAGTCATTTCAATAATTATCATATGGTTGATAAGCATTTTTTCATTGAGCAACTGCGTGAAATTGAAAGAATGCTTAATTAGTTTAAACAATATAATATGAGTGTGGATGAAACAATTATTGTGTTTTTTATAATAGACAAACTTCTTTCATCATGGAAGGACTTTAAAAGAAATTTGAAACATAAAAAAAAAAAACTTTTAAGACTTTGGCTAATCATCTTCAAATTGAAGAGGAATACAAAAAGAAAGAACAAAAATTTGGTTTTAGTGATGCCAAAGTTCATGTTTTGAAGGAAAGATATACCATAAAGCCTGACAAAAAGAAGTTCAAGTTCAAGAGATTGTAATGGGCCTAAATTCAAAAAGAATAAGAAAGGCTTTTGTTGTCATTGTGGTAAGCCAAGACATTTTAAGAAAGAATATTGATTACTACAAAAGAAAAATGATTCCTTAAAAGGTGATATTTTTGAAAATTTTGTTGCCATGATTTTCAAGATCAACATGCTTGGAAATGATGAATCTTGGTGGGTTGACTCTAAGGTAACAAAACATGTGTGTAAGGATAAAAACATGTTCACAACATTCAAACCAAGTGAATATGGCAGTGTCCTCTACATGAGAAATTCTTCTATAGCAACAATCAAAGGCAAATGGACTATTGACCTTGAATTCACTTTTGGAAAAACTCTAACTTTGAATGATGTTTGTTATATACCAAAAGTTGGGAAGAACTTAGTGTTTGGAAGTCGGTTAAACAAGTTTAGTTTTAAACTTGTATTTAAAGTAGATAAATTTATTCTGTTTATGGAAGAAATTTTTGTTGGGAAAGGGTATATCTATGAGGGAATGTTAAACTCAATATTATTAATAAAAATAAAAATGTTGTTTCTGCTTACATAGTTGAATCTTCATATTTATGAAATTATAGATTAGGTCATTTAAATTATAAAAAATTACATGATAAGAATAAGCTTCATTAATTCTTGAATTTTGTCAAGATATTAATAAATGTGATACATGCATGTTGACTAAGATTACCAGAATTCTTTTTTCTAAATTTAAAAAAAATACAAAATTACTTGAGTTAATTCACAGTGATGTTTGTGATATGCATAACACTCTACATTATCTAAAAATAAATATTTTGTCACATTTATAGAAGATTATACTAGATATTGTTATGTTTATCTATTATATTCCAAAAATAAAGTACTTGATAAGTTTAAAATATATAAATTTGTAGTTAAACTTCAGTGTAAATCTTTTATCAAATGCTTGAGATCGGATAGGGGTGAAGAATATTATAGTCCAAGATACTTTGAATCTATCGAAATAATCCACATATAAATTACACAAATTCAACATCAATTTAGTAAAAATTTTAACTCCTACATAAATTTAGATAAATCCACACAAATTCCATAAATTACTCAAATAACCTTAAGATGGTATTTGGTACAGAGGAATCTGAGATTTTTTCCTAAAATCTTGCTATGGGAATGTGATTATCATATTTGGTTCACAAGTATCTGATTCCTAAGGGTAATCCTAAATTTCCAACAGTACCTAAAAATTCTAGAATCAAAAACCCACTTCTCCTTGTGGTTTTTTAAGATTCCAAAAGGAAAGTTATTTTTGTCCCATATTTGTCCTAAGTAAAAAATGTTTTCTTTCTATTTTATCCTTTTTGAAAATCAACTATGGAAAGAAACTTAAAATTTTTTTATATTTGTCAACTTCAATACTATGTTTAGAGTCTTTGAAATACAATAATTGTGATTATTTACTATGTTTGTTGAATAGAAACACAATATTTGACTAGTAATGAATTTTTTTATATTATTGGAAGGGAATTAATATCTGTCTTACAATTACTGCATTTCTATGAATAGAAATGCAATATTTGAGTAGTAAATTTGAAAATTTTATGGCCATCTATTATTTAGTCATAAATTTACAATTAATGCTTGTAAGGCAATTATGGTTGTTGATGGATAGGGAAATTAATATCTGTCTTGCAATTATTGCATTTCTATGAATAGAAACGTAATATTTAAATCATAAATTTGAAATATTTGTGAGCATTTATTATTTAGTCATAAATTTGCAATTAATACTTGTAACGTAATTATGATTGCTGATAGAATGGAAGGGAAATTAACATCTATCTTGCAATTAGAAACATAGTATTTTAGTGATATTTTTTAAACATTTTTCCCACTCGAATACGGCATTTTGAGACTTTTAAACAGAGTAATTATGGATTATTTCTTATGTTTTTGGAAGATAAATGCAGTATTTGAGTAAATAATTTTTTTCCACTCAAACATTATGTTTTGAGTCTTTGAAATGCAGTAATTGTAAATTTTTTTTTACAAATGCATTATGTTTGTTATATAATGAAGGACATTATAATAAAAATACATGATTAAATAATCTAAGTTTTCCTCCAACCAAACACAGAAATCTAAGAATCTCATGCCATGAAGAATCACCTTTTGTTAAGAATCCATACTTTTCCTTAAAATATAAGATTTGCGAACCAAACACCCCTTAAGTTTTCATTTGACAATAAAAATTAAAAATTTTAATTGAAAAAGAAATTACCTAGCACTATTAGACTATAAAACGAAATAACCAAGTTGTTGTTGTATCCTAAATCCTACAAACTAAAATTATAAAAAAATAATATTAACCATAAAATATGAATCAGATTTTAAAATTTACCATAAATTTTTTATATAAAAAATAAAAAAAATAAAATCATTAAAAATTAACAAAACATAAATTAAACTTGTAACCTTATTTTAAAATTAAAAAAGAAATATAAAAATATAAAAATAAAACAAGAGAAAGGTTTATTAAAAGAGATTTAGGAAAAAGGGATTGGGGTTTTGAGGGAGGTTTGATTAGGGTGAAGGAAATTGGTAAAGGTGCCAGCGATTCATCGAAAAATGGAGGAAACGAGTATGGGTGATTTGAGTCAGTTTTGGATGATTTGGGAATGATTTAGGGCTAGATTTGGGGCAGATTTGATACGGTTACGTTCGAGGATAAGGCCAATGGTTGAAGTTGGCCTAGCCAACATTTGTATGATGGAGGGTTGGGAGACTCGAGAGGGAAGAGAAAAGGAAAAAAAAAAAAAAAAAGAAAAGAGGAAAAAATAATTAGACATTAACAACAGAATTTCATCACTAATGTCTAATCGTTTATCAAAAAAATAAAAAACTATATTTTAATGAGAAACAAACTAATTCGCGACAGATTTTGTCATTAATAGTCAAAATTCTATTGCTAAAAGGTCCTGCCTACATTTAGTGACATAATTTTTACCGATCAATGATGGAATTTCATTGTTAATGATAAACGACAAAACAAAAGGGTGGGAGATCATTTGCAACAAAATTTCATTGCTAATGGAAAAACAAAAAGTTCTTAAAAAAATTTTTTAAGTGAAAATGAATTTTAAGGGAATTGGTTATTTTTGTTGCTAATAAAAATTAAAATTTTCAAAAATAATTTTATTTTTTAAATAAAAAATCGCTTATGGAAATCAATGACAAAATTTTTGGCGCTAATTCTAGCATCATTCTTAGAATTTTGACGCACAAAACTTAGTTTCCATTTATAATTTAGTATCTTCTGCCGCTAAAAGTCAAACACTATTTTACTCAAATCTATCCCTATTTGGTCTAAAATCTCTTGCTCTTGATAACTTTTAGTGACGAAAAATTCCGATGACATTTTTTAGTCACCCTGAAATGTTTACTTGTAGTGCAAAAAGTAACAGAGAAGGTGGCAGAGTTGCATTTTGTAACTGAAACCAAATAACCAAATGATTTTTCACATTTACCAAAAAAAAAAAAAAAAACACATTGCTAATGGTACGTTCTCTTATAAATTTTAGTATATTTGATATTTATGAAATTATTTATACTAGTTAAACCAATATGATATTTGTAAACATCAACAAAAAAAAATGATCTTTTAATCTTTAATTAAATATATATTTGATTCTTGAAATTTAACAAATTTAAAATATAATTATATATTTTCGTCTAATTTTAAAATAGTTAGATTCAGGAGTTATGGTATCAAATCCAATGATAGTATTAAAAAGAAATAATTTTGTGAACATATAAGGACACACCCCTAAATTAACGAAAGGATCAATTATTAAATGTTATATATATCGAGAATTTTGTTTTATATTTATCGTCATTCAATATTGTATTTGAAAAAATACAATGAGATAAGTTGTAAACAAAATAAATTAAATATAAAGCACAAATATTTTTTGTGTCTACGTAAATATAACAAGCAATAGTTTTGGCTGCGGAAAGCTCGCTTGAATTTAGAAATCTTAAGGACGCATCAAAAGTTTGTTATGAGAAAGTTGTAATATCGATCTGATCAGCCAACAATTGTTAATAGGAGAAGTTGCAGAGAAGAAACCCAAACACCCACAAAGCGTTTGATATCGTTGTCATTCGCTTTCTTACGTTGCGAAAACAATGAAAGCCTTTTGACCCTTTTCCATTTTGTTGATTCTTTTTTTTCTTGGCTTTCTGGTTTTTATCTTTGTGGGTGTTTGCCTCCATTATCAGAAAGCTTGGATCATCGTGCATACAAATGAAAGACCGAAAAAGGAGAATCATGAATAGGAACAAAAGCCAAGTTCATGACTCTTCCTCCGTTGACATGGAAAGCTCCCCTCCCAAACCCATTCCCAAGAGGATTTATCAAGTTTGGAAGGGAAATAATGTATTTTTTCTTCCTTTCTTTTCCTTGTTCTAACATTTGATGTTTTTGCAAATAGTGTCTTTTTCTTCCTCTCTTGATGGATCATAAGAAAGTTCCATGCTTTCAACAAAATTCTTTTTATTAATGCTTGTTATGATTGCGCATTGAGAGTTCATTTTGTTTTTTTACCCGTGCATCAATTTTGCATGAGCGAAAATATTTTTGAATAACAGTTGAGAGAGTAGCTAGGCTCTGAATTTTGGTGATGGATTAGGAAACTTTCATCATCATAATAATTGAATTCTGTTGATGGCTTCTTAAAAGTAATTAATACATGTTATTACATGTCTATATAAAGTTGGAACATGTGGTGGGGCATATATAGATGAAGGTTTTACCTTATATAAAGACGATTGTAAATTATTAATAAAACATGCAAACTATATCAAAGTTATTCCTCAAATCATTGCTAGGACATATTAATGCATGATGGTAAATTTTTATGTTTTTAATACCCTAAAATGGTATTTGGATTGAAATAATAATTAAATAATTCTTGTATTTTACTGACATATCAATCTAAATCTTCTTTGACAACAAATGGTACATATGTCTATTTGATCGAAAAATATGCTATAAACAATTGACTAGTTAATCATATAAATATTGTTTCATTTCTGCATTGTTTTCTTTGGTTCCTGATTCTTTTCTTTTTTTTTTTTTGTAAACGATTTCAATTGCTGGATAAGTTTTGATTGCTTTGAATGAACACAGGTTATCTCGTAAATTAACAAAATTGTAGTTTTTCTTAAGTAGTAGCATACAGGCTAAAACCAAATTTTGGCATTTCTGGACTAATGAACAATTTTTATATGTCAGAAATTTTGTTGCGGTGGCAGAATGATCTTTGGCCCCGACGCATCGTCACTTTTCTTAACTTCGTTTTTAATTGGATGCCCTGCGATAGCATTCTGCATTAAGATGGCTGTGAATGTCACGTACGACGATCCGAATTTCAACCATCGTATATTGTTTGGCGGACTCATCCTCACTGTTTTGGTTGGTAAAATGTGTAGCTAATTTGATGAAAGTTACGTATTTATTATTATTACCAGCTAGTTGTTGCTCCCTCTATTATGATCTTAATTAGGGCTCTGTTGATACGAATCTTAGGAGAACCATGTCCCAAAAGCTAATTATTAGTGTAAGAGAATGTAGGTCCGATAAACCGCAGAGAAAAAAAAAAAAAAAAAGCCTGTACTTTCAGGTAAGATTCACGTCCCATACTTTACAATTAAGATCATAACGTCCTCAACCCTCCCAACCTTTTCACCTCTTCTTTATTAAATTGTACATATTATTATTGTCATTATTATTGGTTTGAACTTGGAAAGTTGTTCTAGGAAAACGACATCTTTGCCATCTCTCACTGTTGCTTTATCATATCAATTTTTTTGCAGGATTTAGGGTTTCTATTTCTGACATGTAGTAGAGATCCGGGAATAATACCTAGAAATTCACAACCACCTGAATCGTCAGATGAATCAATTTATTTGTCCAAGAGTTCATCACAGGAGTGGATCAGTAGTAAAACTCCAAACCTTAAAATCCCAAGGATTAAGGATGTAATATTGATGAATGGTCAAACGGTTAAAGTTAAGTATTGCGACACATGCCTGCTGTATCGTTCACCGCGTGCTTCTCATTGCTCCATTTGCAACAATTGTGTCCAGAGGTTCGACCACCACTGTCCATGGGTGGGTCAATGCATCGGATTAGTAAGTTACTTTAATTTCCTCAGTTAGATATAGATAAGGGCCTAAACTAATTAGTTACAAGTAATTGTTTTAAACCCAAATAATGTTTTGCAGCGCAACTACCCTTTCTTCATTTGTTTTATATCATCATCGACAACCTTGTGCATATATGTGTTCTTGTGCTCTTGGTTGAACATACTTCGACAACATTGCGGCTTGTGGGTTGCCATATCTCGTGATATGCTATCAGTTATTCTCATTGTGTATTGCTTCGTAGCTGTCTGGTTTGTTGGTGGCCTAACAGTTTTCCATTTCTACCTTATTTGCACCAACCAGGTGATTACTTTCTTAATTTCTTAATCCTCTCCGTCCATCATGTTTTATTATTAATTTGCATGCTTTTTTTTCTTATTTATATCTATATAATAATCAAACACATGATTTAATATAAGCAAAAGCTAATGTAATTGATTACATGTGCCATTAATTAGGAATGTTAATTACACATTATTTTGCTCATTTCTTTTGAAAACTGCTTTTGCAATATGAATTTCAGACAACCTATGAGAATTTTAGATACCGATATGATCAGAAGGAAAATCCCTTTAATAAAGGCATATTAGGCAACTTCAAAGAAATTTTCCTTTCAAAGATCCCACCTTCAATGGTCAAGTTTCGGGCATGGACTTCAGAAGATAATGACCTTTCTGTTATGAATGACAATGGGAAAGAGAATTTTGATATAGAAATGGGCGTTAAGCTCAACATGGATAGCACCACAATTCCAAGTCTTTTGCAGGGGATCGATTATGGTGGTTTTGATGATAACACCTTAAAAGTTGATGATCCACATGATTCCCCTTCAATTTCCAAGAAGCAAAATTTTCACAATGAAACTTTGTTATAGCTTATTACATGACCAAATGGTTGTAGCTCCATTGGACTTATACTTGGTTGAATAAAAAGAAGTGCTTATATCCCTTTGCTTCTTTCTATTTTATCATGTACTATTAATTTTTCTTTCCTAGTGATGTCTCTGCATATGCTACCTAATAACTTCAACTAAGAACCAATCTCTGTTGTATTTCACGCATCGCTTGAGCACTCAAAATAAAACATATTATTTTCTTATCTCAAACCTTTTCAACCAATTAAAAGAAGCACTAATATTTTATTGATTTATTATTTTTTAATTAAAACCGTTAGAATTTGAATCTTAGTTATTTAATACTCTGTCAATAGACTATGCAGTTATTGATTTATTATTGGTTTAATTTTTCAGCACTCATATATGTAGTTCATATTTTTGATAAAATAATTAAAAATGAAAGACGTGTTTCCTTTGTGAAATTAAAATTTTTAATTAACTTTTATACATCCTATATATAAATCTAGCAAATCTTGACCCATTGTTAGCCACACCTAGGTTGCCATGCCACCATGCCATGTGTTAACACTTTATTGCACAAATATTTTTTTCCTTTATTTTTCTTCTTCAAATTTCTTTCCCCTAAAAATCCAGCAAATGTGACGTTTAGGGGCAAGGATAAAAACCCGATTTTTTTTAATATTTTGCCTCTTCCCCTCTCTCATGCATCTAAACTCTCTCACGTTCACTACAGAAGCAAACGACACCAGCTCCATCGCCCATCTCGGTCGCCGTCCTGCCCAACCACCATAATCTCTTCTACAATACACAACTCACACTTGAAAACCACTCATCACAGCCTCTAAATCACAATCATCATTAAAATAACTCCAAATATGAAACCCACAGTTGAAAATACCCTCACAACCTGGAAAAAAAATCCTATATTCGATGATCCCAAAAAAAAAAAAGGAAACAAAGCAAAAAAACATTTTTTTTCCGAAAATCACAATAAACAACAAAGAAAACAGTTATCACAATAATAAAAACAACCAGAAACCATCAAAAAAAAATTTTTTTAAATAAAGGCTATTTTCGGGTTAGGCAAGCTCTAAGGTATTTTAGGATTTGTTATCTGTTGAGCAGCAAGGGTGAACAGAGGAGAATAACATACTAAGAACGAGAGGCTTAAGGCATGGAGGAAAGAGGTTGATTTTGGGTTTAAAGCCGCGGGTTCTATTTTTAGATCTAGGCCTCTTCATAAGTTTTTGGGAAAAACTAAGATTAGAATAGGAAAAGGAAGCGGAAGAGTCTGAGAAATTTTCTTTGGAAGAAAATGGCGTCGGTTATTGGCGGTCACACAGTCGGACCGCCGAAATCTAGGTTTGATGGTTGCCTTAATTTGGGTTGGTATATTTTGTTTTTCTTGAAAGAGAGGGAGAAAGAACATAGATAGAAGAAAGAAAGGCAAAAGGATAAAAAAAAAAAAAAAATGGCCTTTTATACTCACATGAAACGGTGAGTATTATTTGAGAATGCATTTTTCGGGTCAACTCGAGTCTTGACCCGTGTGAATACTTTACCCGACCTGTTAGTATCTGAAGTTAGATTTTTTTAATGTATTTACTTCATTATTTATATTTGCTTAGTTTTAGGTATATTTAAAATGATTTAATAAGATAAAATTGTAATTTTAATTTTCTTTGTATAATTGAAATACCATTCCTATTAGGTTATTAACTTTTTTGAAGTTAACTTTTTTCTCGACGATGGAAATGAAGGGAAACACAAGTGGTATTGTTTTTAAATTCTTAGGTAATTTTTTTTTTTTAAATCTTCTAAGAGTGTTGAAAGGATTTTGAAAATTTTAAGATAAATGAAATTATATTTCTTTTATTTTTATAAAATAATTCATAAAATTTTTGAAGGTGAATAAACTTTTACAATGATGGAATTAAAATAAAATTATAAATGGTGATTTTATTAAAAATTTTATATGAATAAAATTTTCAAATCTTACCAAAAATATTAATAGGATTTTGAAAATTTCTCAAAAAGAAATCTACTTTTTTTATAAATAAATTCAATAATTAATTAATTTTTTGAAAGTTAATTAACTTTTTTATAATGGAATTAAAAGAAAACTATAAGTGTTGATTTCTTTGATAATTTTCAAGTGAGGAAAATTTTTTAAAATTTTATTAAAAGTGTGAGAAGAAATTTGAGAATTTATTTCTAATTAAATGAATTTTTATTTATTTTTCAAGTTAAATATTTTTATAATTAATATTAAATTTTTTTAATAACAAAATATATTTTAAATACCGAACTAATTTACTACTTAGCATTTTCAAGGAAAATAGATAATTTTTTAAATACTCTTGACATAAGAAAATTGCTTAAGTTATATTGAAAAATATAAAAAAAAACTTAAGAAAAATTTTAAATATTTAAATAATAAAAATAATAAAGTTTCAAAATTATGATAATTTTAATCAAGATTAATAAAAAGATAACATATGATTATTTGGTATCATTTTTTAAATGAAAATTGTAAGAGTAATAATATTTTCCCGCACATAATTAAACGCTCAAACTCAAATTTTATTTTCTAAACCAAAATATATATTTAATAAATCTTAATTAATTTTAGAATCATATTAGAAAGATAAATTTTTTAATTGATCAATTACACCTAACTAAAAAAATATTAGTGAAGACTCCATTTTTTGTATATAACAATTGAGCTCCTCAGACGAAAACCGTTATGTCATCTTTCTTTGCTCTCTAAACGCAAAGTTCAAGTGCAACTATAAAATCATTGTAATCATTTTGTTTCATACATATATCGATGCAATCAACAATAAATACTTTTTATTTAATTTTTTTATAAAAATATAAATAATAAAACAAATTATAAATTATTTTAGATAATTAAAAAAATTTTAAATTAATAAAAAAAAACTGAACCTGCAATATGGCACGAACTCATTTCTAATTTTATTTATTGATACATTTTTGTTATTTACATTTTTGTTTCATTAAAATTAGAAGTTTGATTAAAACCCTAAATTCTAGTATATCCATGCCTTTAATATTTTAATTTATAAGTAACAATATTATATATTATATATTATAGAAATTCCCTCATATTGTCCCTGAAATTTATCTAATATAAATGAAAAGTAGTCACAATATATATAAATACAGAATACATAATTTTCCTTGCCATGCACTTTTATAAAATGTGACCAATATACATATTAAATAGATTTGGATGTACAGGCTTCATCTCATATGTCTAGATTTTTTAAACTTCATTAGTGAACATAAAACCACACAAATGTGTAAATAAAATGGATTTATATGTACATTTTGATTCTTATATATGTGCATTTTTTTAAATCTCAATATTTAAAAAAAAATTAAGAATTTTTCCAATTGTAGTTTGTGTTTATTAATTAGTGTAAGAAAGACGTTAAAAATATATAAGTTTTAATAGTTTGTTTCACTATTAGAAAAAGGGCATGGTGGCACTTAGTTAGCGGCGTTTCACAATAACCACCACTAAATTTGTTGTTTTTGAAAAGGTGGCGGCGTTTTTAACCCAAACGCCACTAAATTTTCAAATAGCAGCATTTGTCCAAAAAATGCCACCAATTAATGATATATGGTGGCATTTACAAACATAAACGCCGTAAAAAAATTTAATATTAATTAAAATGAAAATTATCAATTTTTGTTATAATCAGTTAGCGGCATTTTTTAATTAAATGCCATTATTTACTAATATTTAGTGGCATTTACATTCCATAACATCGCTATTTACCAAATTTTAGTGGCGTTTACATTCTAAAATGCTGCTATTTACCAATTTTTAGTGGTGTTTGAACCAACAAATGCCACTAAATTCACCTTAAATACCATCAAGCCCCCATTCAGTTTACCTAGAAAATTCGATCCCCTTCATCAAGCCTTTTTTTCTCCATTCGATCTCATTTTTCATCAGTGAGTTTGCCGTTCAATTTCCTTCTTCGGTGGTGGCTATTCAGTTGGGTTTGCTTCTCCAGTGGTGGTTCTTCGATTGGGTTTCATTGTCCATTCGATCTTCTTCTTTGTCGGTGGGTTTAAGCTCAATTTTCTCTGTTTCTTCAGTAGTTTCCTTTTTCGATAAGGCCTCTCTTTCTCTTTTTTCGATTTTAGGGTTTAGTCCCCACCTACTCACTACTAATCTACTTGGTGGTGTTACGATGGTGCTAACTGCCATGTTCTTTAATCCATAAAGATTGAGTTATAAAAATTTCTATCTTTTCTTTGATGTGATAACATCGTAGCTAATCAGTTATGGAACTACCCATTTGATGCTAGGAATTAACCAAAACTGAACCCAAATCACTTGATTAATCAAATTGGTAATGGGTAAACTACATGGCTAGCTCAAGGCTAGAAATGTTAATCATAGCTAGATACCTTAAATTGATCATTCCTTCTCTTATAAAAGGAAAAAAAGTCTTAAAACATAAATTTTGCATAAATGAAAATAATTTATAAATGAGCTAACATTTGATATGAGCTTTAATATAAATATACTTAAATGTCTTTGTTGAATATTGATAAATGCTTTAATGAATACTTTCTTGAAAATCTTATATTCAAAGCACACTTTATCTAAAACATGATCTATAAGACTTATTTACTTACAATTATATATATCTTTGCTCTCAAAATATCATGTTATGCCTTTATGACTACTATGCTAAAATGCTTAAATTGGATACATTGATACATTTATGCCCTTATGCTTGAATTCATGTATTTGGTCTTTGTTAACTCTATTGCTTGAATACATGGATTTCTTATGCTTTTAATTGGACTTAATTGTGTTTAGGAATATTTATGCTCTTGAAATTGTCCTACATTTTAAATTGGTCTTGTTTTTGCTATGACATAAAAAAGGGAGAGATATTTTAGTGGACATATTTGCTTTGACAAATGAGTATGCATGTGCTTAGATGAATCTATCTTTGATATATGTGCTTAAAATAATATATATTGTATTGGCATATTGTGTTATCTTGAATATTTGGTGTTTAAATGATATATCTTGTGTTAAAATATTATGTTGAAGATTTTGTTATTAATTGTGCCAATATA